GGCCCCCCCCCCCCCCCCCCCCGCTTCCCGCTTTCCGCCGGGTTTGGAAATACTCGATCCTGCGAAAACCACTGCTGTAAACAACCAAGATGGAAGACAAGGTGTCGTGGGTAGCCGCAAAGAGTGGAGGAACAAAGCAGCACAACGTGGAATTAGTTCGACATTTATAAGGTGTTTTTTTTTGGGGGGGGGGGGTGTCGTCTTTCGGCATGGCGTCGGTTTACGAATATCTCCACCCGCTCCTCATCCCAGGGGACACGTGACACCTTTCTTAGAGACCGCAGCCTTCTCTTTCCCAGCAACCGAGCACTGAAAGACGGTCTAGGGGGGGGGGGATGCCATCTCTCCGCCTCTTTCGTTAAGTCCATGTCATGCACAGCCTCTTCGCCTTTCAACAAGGGGCCATCGGCAGCAGTAACATCCCGGCAGTGTACAGTGCCCCCGCCTCATCCCACCGTTCTTGCTGTTTTACGTAGTAGCTTGCTCGGAAAACATGAAAACCCTGCCGCTGCTGCAAGTCTAGCGCTTTGGTTTGCGCAGCCTGTTGTGCAAAAAGCTGAGTCTGCTTGCAGCGTCACATGAACGACTAGAGGCTTGGGGGCAAAGTCCTACACGACCCGTTGGTTAGACCGTGCGCACCACCCAGGGCGAATATCCCTCAGTGCGACCTCTCTAACTGCAGTGCCAAATCAGTGCCCGCCTGCTTCAACCGAAGGAAGAAATGGGCGGTAATCTTCACACAGCAGCAGCAGCAGCAGCAGCAGCAGCAGCAGCGACGACAGCACTGGACCCTGGGACAGCCGCGATGGCACGCACGCGCTCAAGCTCCCCCGCCGTGCTCCCCGTGCGAGCCAGCAAGGGTGGACAGATAAGCCAGCCGTTGCGTCCGCTCTCGAAGCAGATACACCGATGTTCAGAGCGCACTTCGAGAAAGACGCCAGTTTCGTAGTCCAGTCTTTTTACTGGAGTAGTACTGACTATTGCCGGATGTAGGCCTGACTTTAGCACACGCGGTGGCGCAGCGGCTCTTTTGTCCGAGAGAGGCCGCCTCATCGCCCCCGTGATGCGTGTGGCGTACACACCCGCCGTCAGGCAAAGCCCGGGCGACGAACGAACGTTGCGTTTGCCGCATGAGTCCGCATCTAGCACTTGCAGTATTAAGGAATAATAAAAAAACACACAGAAAGACTACCCATTCGAGATATACCCACAGTCGAACGCAGTATTAGTACAAGGTGTTGTTACCAAATCCCTCGGGCATAACATGCGGAGAAATCAACATCCTTTCGTCACCTTTCCCACCGTGTGAAACAGCAGTGCGGGCCCCAGATGACTCCACTACCTTTGGTGTGGCTCGACTAATAGAAGTGGAGCAGCAATTAAACGCGGGCCTATCAAAAAATAGCACAACTGCTGCACCGCTGCCTGCTGCATGGAAAATTCTGAAAGTCGCGGGTAACTCCTCAATCCTCAACCTCACCCTCGTTATTTCTTCCTCGCTGACAGACGCGGCGGGTTGGGGGTTGAAGTCGCCCCACCCTCTCTTGACGTATATTGGTTAGTCTGCCGGAAACGGGCTTGGCTGCCGCCGCAGAGCTGCTTCGCGCAATCATACGGGGAGGGGATGAAGCTTTGATCAGCGCACCCGCGGCCCGTGAAGATAAGGGGTGGGAACCATGCTTTCGGTCATGTCGCCGAGAGGCGCTGCTGCTGCTGTGCTGGCACTTTACCTTCAAAGGCGGACCTTCCCTCAAACTCGATAAAACTCGGAGTAGTGTACGGGTGGAACATACGAATCTCACCGTCCGCAAAGGAATCATCTAGCTAACCAAGAAGGCCGTGAGGTTCCTAACGAACGCCTGCCGTTGCTACCGTTCCGTCAGACCGAGGTGTCGGGTGGCTGTGCCAGGCGTCCCGTGCTCGGCTAATTCACCCCCGTCTGTCTGTCTGTCCTCAGTCCTCAACAACCCAAACAACGTCGTCTCTTTTTGCGGACGAAGTGAGGGACACGATGAAGGGCAACATCATGATGCATCGGACAAAGCTCTCTCGTGCTTCAGAGACTCTGCGAATGTGAAGCGACGGCGGCGATGACATCTACACTGACTGGTGATCAGTTCTCTCTGCCCACCTCTTTTTCGCGGCCACGTCCCCTGTGCTGCGTAGTTAGGGCACCTCCTTCCCTCTCTGGCAACTGCCAAGACACACACACACACACATGACATTTTTTTTTCTTACGCGGGGGCTCCGCACATTCATTGTTCATCTACTTTTGGGGTAGATGTTGCATGGTACGCAGCTAGCAGCAGCCCACATGATCCATCAGATCATGTCATGCAGCAGAGAGAGCTGTTCATGATTGATTACCGAGTCAATGCGTAGGCCTCGCGGGCCGCAACCGGGAGAGGTTGGCTCTGTTGGTCTATCCGCGCTCCTTGTCCGGCATGTCACCTACTGCGAGAACTCTGACTGTTTGGGGCTACAAATACAGCAGTATCTATCTTGCTTGTCGATGCGTCGACAAAAGCACTGACTCCTCATCAGGCCAACTGCGGCATGTAACTTTTCGTCCTGTTCGTTATAAGTGATTGGTACATGTAGTCTCTGTGTTTTGTCACCCAGGCTTTGGGCAGAGATCGATCACATACATATCGGTGTAAAAGGTTGGGTTGCATCTTGTTGTTATCCTCAAGCCGTCCAACCTCTGCTCAGTATATACTTCAAACATCCCCGTACGGCGTTCGTTCTTCCATACGCCCCCCCTAAATAAATATGCAAGAAAAATACTTCATTCCGGGCCTACTACCCCACACCTTCAGGAGAAATGCTGTTCGTTGGGTTAGGTAGGTACAAATATCTTGGTTACAGGACTATTTTTTTTTCACAGAATATGGTATGTTGTACGTTCTGGAGTATTTCGAAGCAGAGCAGCAGCAGCAGTACTATTCATGGATTCATCAGAGGACAGGTAGCTACTAGGTTATATCGTAGGTGTTTAGCGCAGGGTGTTTTCTTCCGTAGCACGCGCAATCGGTATGTTTAGTTTTTTCATTTCTCTTTTTTTTCGGGTTTTGGGGACGAAAAATAAAATGACAAAAGAAAAACCAACATAAAAACGCGGCGTCATGTTTTGAGGATGTATATTAATATATATGTACCCCCCCCGCCGGGTGTGAGGATGCTCTCGTCCCATTCTTACCGCACCCACTTCACGTGAACTTGAACGAAGGACACCCGAGTGGTAATGAAGCTGCAAAGAGATACCGTACGCTGGTGATGATACCACCACCTTTACGCGGTCGTGCAAAGCATGATCTACAAAACTGCAGAAATGCGTGAGGTAGAACGGTCTTCTTGGCGATTGACTGCTCCGAAGGGGTAGATGACCCTGTGTCGTTCGGTGTATAGCCATCAGTGCATCCAAACGCATAGAGGGGGGTGAGGGGGCGCGGCGGTACGCTCTCACTTTCAACAACCTCATTCAACTGCTGACTGCACGACCAAACAGGCAAGAAAAACTGCCGTACGTATCTACAGTAGGAAAACGAAATAAGCTGGTGGCAACGTGAACATTGGATTGACAAAAGCGCATGTTTCTGTTCGCAAAATCAACGTAGAAAACGGACACAAGTAGAGCGGTGATTCCACCAACACCGCATGCGGTTTGCGACAATGTCGTGCAGAACAAAAAAAAAACCGGCAACATCTCACGCCACGCAGACACAGAGGACCTTTGTTGCTTTCAATACTTTTTTGTTACAACACCCAAACGCGACCCAAGAAGAGTAGCATCCCCATCCCTCAACGACACGCGCACGGGGCGATTTCTCCCATTTTTTGCAACACAAGTAGAAAACACCGACCACGCGGAGCGCTTGCCCTACGTACGCAACACACCCGAAGCCTCCTACATACACATTTTCACAGCAAAACACAACAACCCCAGCCAGGGCTTTCACCTCCCAGTCAAACGCATAACAAGGGCATACAACGTTCTTAACGCAGACGAACTGCAACATGTGCATCTTTCAATTGGGAACACCGAAGCGCTACCATGTGTATGTAGCCAGGAACACCGAAGCGCCCGACGAACGGCTTGTCGCACAGATAGATATGGTGCAGATTATGCACGTGTTTCAGCCATCGCCCTCGGTCAACGCCAAACAGCTCACGCACGTGCTTCAGCTGTCCCGCCGTTCCCAACACTAGACAAGCCTGAACCACCTATATTAAAACTATAATTTCTTCATGTTTCATTTCAACGCGGATCGAGCGAGAGCCGCTTCCACAGCGGAAACCCCCTTTTTCCTCAATCGAAGCACCCTGGCACCAAAATTGCGCACCACAAACAACAAGCGAAACTTAACCACCTCAGCACTGCTGTACACACGAGCGAACAAGAAGAACAACATACAACCCACTCCCCTTTTATCACCAATCCCCACGGACCGTGTTCAACATTCCAACAGCTGGTGATCCCCTCGCCCTTCCCAAACCAAGCCCCCCCCCCCGCCCCCGAACCCCTGCTGCTATACCGCTGAAATCGACGAAAAACGGTGCAGCGCTACCCGCGGCTCGTTCCGTTCGACGCCCAGGGCACACGCCTCTGCCTCTGAGAAACCCCCGCCCCTGCCGCTGCCGCTGCATCGTCCTCCGGCGGATTCTGAGGGGCCCTGAACCCGTTGCTCGCCATCTCGGAACGAAACCTCTCCACGTGCCTGAACCTCCGGCTTTGGCTGTTCGCCGGCGCCGACGCGGAGGCGTTGGCTCTCGTCCTGGCGCCGCCTCCAGCACTTCCAACAGATTCCTCCTTGCCGCCGCCCCGGCCGGTACCATCACCGACCCCTCGAGTGGCCCCGTACCCCTCCCCCTCGCTGCCGTCAAAATTATTATTGCTCCTGCGATACTTCTCCGCGTGCTCCTCCCTCGCCCTGTCCGCCCGCTTTTTCCTCCACTCCGCAAGCCGCTTCGCGCGGGAATCGGCGATCGCCGCAGCAGAAGAAGAAGAAGAAGAAGCCGTGGCGTCCGCACCAGCCCTCGTGCTGGTGCCCCTAGGCCCTCCGCGTGCGACAGCAGCCGTCGCGGCGCCCCCCCTCCTGTCTGCGGTTGTTCTGGCGGAGCGAGAGGCTGAGCTGCTGCTGCTGCCAGGAGCCGCAGTAGCGCTCGAAGAAGACAACGACGAGGAGGAGGCGTTCTTCCTCTCCCGCACCGTCCCCCGCCCGGTCGCCCCCGCCGCCGCCCCGGCCCCGGCTCCGCCGTTTCTGCGACGGACACCCTCGCGACCGACCCTGCTTGACACATCGCTCGACCCACCTCCGCCCGCCTCGTCACCGCCACCGCCGCCGCCATCAGCAGCGGGGTCAGAGAACTCGGACGGCCGTCGACGCGTCGTGTGCCTCGATCGAGCGGGGATGACGCCATCCACCGCCACTTTCTCTCTCCCTCGCCGTTTGCCATTGCCGTTGACGACGGCCGGTAGGGTCGTGGAGGCGGACGAAGACGCCTTCTTGGGGACCACCGGTTCTTTGCTTGCCGCCCGCGTCGCGGGCTTGGTGACGCCTCCGCCGCCGCCGCTGGGCACGGGAGGGGCCGGGGAAGCGGTGCTGAAGTCGAACAGGTGGTCCCGCAAGCGCACCTCCGAGTTTCCCGTCACCGCAGACCGGATGATCTCCCCGAACGATCTCCTTCGCGACGGGCGCCCGCCGCCGCCACGCCTCTCGCTGCCGCCGCTTTCGGGGCTGGTGGCGATGTCATCTCCGAACGGCACCGGCGTTGCGATGGCAGCGGCACCATCGGCGCGTGATGCCGCTCCGGTGCCACCGTCCGCGTCCAGAAGCTCCGCCACGAGGGCCGAAGCGCCGCCGCCGCCGTGCTTGCTATCCGAGCCGGCGTTCGCGACGCCGTTCCTCGCGGCGACCGGTGTCGTCTTGGACGGACTACCGCGCGCCGGGAGGGGGGGCGTCTGCTGCTGAGTCGACGGCGCCCCCGCCGAAGCCGCTCTCTTCGGCGTCGACTCGGCGGCACGTTTCTTGGTCGGAGTGTTGAGGTGCTGCAGCTGAGAGGTAATGCCTCCTCCTGTCGCCGCTTGCTTCTTCCGCAGCCCCTCTCCCCGCCCGGCCTTCTTCTTCTTCCTCTTCGCCGCGCCGCTGCCGCTTCCGGAAGAGGGCGCGGGCATCGTGGGGAACAGCACCAGCAGCACGCGCCACGGGAGGGAGACGGCAAACTCGACGACGTTGGGCACGACGAGGTTGTTCAGGATGTGGTGGGCGTTGTCCATGCCCCAGACGACCACCCGCTCGAAAACCACGGTAGGTATGTTTCCCCCGGGGAGGTAGAGCAGCCCCAGGCCGAGGCACTTGCCGAGCCAGTAAAACGGTATCCATGACACCAAGAACTTAGGGTGTCGTGGTTCATTTTCCGGGGGGGGGGGGGGGGAGGTCTAAAGGTTAGCGACGGAGAAGTGGGAGGTTCTGCCCTTTGCTTTGAACCCCCCCTGTAGGCTGGGGGTACAATTCTCTAGCCATTCGCAATGAAAGCATGGCAGTGGAGCCGCGGAAAAATCTGGTAACAGCCTGGCAAGAGATTTGGAGTACTTCCGAAAGTAAACAGCAGTATAGTAGAACATCCCTGGGCAATAAACTGCATACGTGCCATGCCGTTCGTTTGCACGCAGATGTGCTACGGCTGTGAAACCCACAGTTAGTGCTGCCGCGAGGTGCACACTCACGATGCCATGCCATGGACATCGCGTCACCTTCAAACACGGTTGCGCATCAAATCGGCGGGCTCTCCGTGACTTGTACTGAATCGTACAATACTTCTATAATTGTAAATAGTGTAAAGCGAAGGACAAAATCAATATCCCTTTCTAGAAAGTACGCAAGCACAGAAAGACTACCCGATCAAAATCCCTCTGTAGGTACAAGCACCCGACAACCGTAGGTTGCTGGCGTGGTCGCCTTGTGCACCCTGAACGGCTAAACAGCAGCTGCCTGTAGACTACTCCACATATTTCTGCTTGGAAACGTGTCCTGTCGTTATCGAAAATGTTACCCTCGAGGAGGGATCTCGTCCACCTTCCTCTCTGACGCGTGATCGCGCTCTAAACAGCAAGGGGTACGCAGAAGTCAGAGGAGTGACGCTGGGTTGAAGTCACTGACAGCGAGGCAGGACGGGGCGATGACTGGGCCCACCAAACATGATACACAAAAGACAGAACACCGCTGGCTGCGCGGTGTGATGGGAAACTGCGAACCGAGCAAAAAGACAGATTGATCTCCCTCTTTGCTCCTTACCTCAAAGTACTCCTCAAACACTCGCAAAAGACCCAGCAGGCACCAGGTTTTGAGAAGGTTGTAGTCCGTTCCGCCGTGCTTGAGCACCTTGAAGGTCTGTGCGCAGCGCAGGGCAAAGGCAGGCCAGAGCGGGGAAACAGCGGGGGCACGAGATGACGTGAACAGATCCCAACGGTTTTGAATGATGGAAAAGAGGGGGGGGGGCAGACCTACCGAAACAATCGCTCGTGCTGGTGCTGTTCGATTATCACCTTCCAAGCTCCCAGGGAAAAGGACGCCACCATACATAGCTCCGACGCCAGCCAGTTCGGCATCGCGCTCAGGCCATTAAGTGACGGTGTGGCAGGTGATGGTTTAGTTTGTCCGTCGTGCAAGCCGTGGGAGGTGCAGAGGAGAGCGAAGAGGATGGGGGTTCGCAGATTGGTTATAATAGGGTGGCCCTCCGGAGATCATGTGATGGGATAGACATGCATGTCTCTCCTCCCACCAACCACCCATGACCTTGTACGGCCGCGCCACCCGCTTCATCGCGATCAAGACGCTGCTGGTCGGCCGATGCTGTGTTCGTGGCTACGCCTACGTCCCGCCGAGTTGTATGCTCTCCAGAGTTTCCCAGCAGAGACACCGACTACTTCAATCCGCAGGTCTCTCGATACTACAGCTGAACCGCTGCGGCAGCGGCAGCAGCAGACGCGGCGGCACATCGTTGACGGGAGTTAGGAAGCCGAGAGCGCCGATGATCGGGCCGGAGCTTCCACCGGCGCCGCCACCGCCCACGCTCTATGACGCCGACGGCAACGAGCTGAGCAAGCCGACGAAGAGAAAGGTTGCCATAGTGGTGGGATATGTCGGGACCGCGTTCCACGGTTGGCAGCAATCCACCGATGCGCAGAACGTGCGAACCGTCGAGGGCGAGCTCGAAACCGCACTGTGGAAGGCGGGTGCCATCGCCGACAGCAACTACGGCGACCTGAACAAGATTGGTTGGGGGAGGTGAGCTTAATCTCGCTTGCTCTCTTGAAGGAGCAGGCTCAAAAGTTGAATTGCACCGCGCGTTATTGCACCGCGTTCGAGCGGACTACATGTACACGACGGAGTGGGTCGTTGCCCTTGCTGCTTGGGCGCACTCCGATCATGGTGTCGATTGCGTTTTTTTCATTGTGGTGGGTCGGGTTGTGTTGCTTGCGGAACATCTGCCGACGACACATGCTATCATTGAGGGCGGGATCGAGAATTCGCATACCGCCTCGAACCGCTGGCCCGACACGTGTGAGTCGATGCCCGATGACCATCTTCGCACGCTCACGCCACGAGCAAGCTTTGCGAGCTGGCAACGAAACGAGCGCCTGCCCTCGTTGTCGGTGTCAAGAAGAACAAGTTTGTGAGTCGCACACGTCGCGATGTCTGACTGTGTTTGCGTTGGGTGGGGGAAAAGGTTCATCCTATGCATACATAAGGGCTACGTAAATACGAACAAGTTTGTGAGTCCACACGTCGCGATGTCCGATTGTGTTTGCGTTGGGTGGGAAAAAAGGTTCATCCTAAGCATACATAAGGGCTACGTAAATACGGACCATTTGAAGTACACCTCCAATGTCACGCCGCCATTCCTCGCAGAGCGAGTGGTCGCACACAAGCCTCTCATCGTCGTCACGGCATATCCCTCAACAGCAGCGCAAAAACTTAGACCAGACTTCTTTGGCCTCTCTTCACCACCACGACCGCCCGCCTGCCACCATGTACAATGTCAACCACAACAGGACAAGCCGTACGGACAAGGGAGTGCACGCGTCCAAGACCGTGGCTGCGGCAAAGCTTCTCCTACCCCAGGAGACCTTCACCGCGACGGGCATGTCGCAGTACGGCAAGGACAAGCTCAACGAGAAGCTCCCCGACGACATCCGGTGCTTCAGCGTCTCCAAGGTGCCCAAGTCGTTCAGGGGGAGGGAGGAGTGCACGCTGAGGTATGATCTAGGAGGATCAGGCGGGCATCCCGTGAGGGATCGATACAGCAGTAACAACGCGCACCACGCGCGTGCTTGTTGCCTCCTCGCGTTCATGGATGTATTGCTTTGCGTGTGGTGCCTTTTTTGTTGCTGTCCTCCATACGTACGTTTCTCGACTTTGCTGCCCGACAGATGTTGTTGTTGCCGCAACAGCGGTTCTGACTTCCTGTCAACTTTTTTTGGTGTTGGGTGCTTTGTGTTTCACCTACCCGCCTTTCTCGCACGCCCTGCTACTTTGAAGGGAGTACACGTACTACCTGCCGAGGGAGCTCCTGCCTGACGACGAAGCCCTGGGCAAGTTCCGCGAGCTCCTCAAGCTCTTCGTGGGCACGCACAGCTTCCACAACTACGCCAGCACCAAGGGGCGGCAGCTGAAGGAGGTCCGCAAGAGGGTGAAGGCCTCGATCGACCTCAAGAAGTCCGGCGGGAAGCCGGCGCCAGGACCGGAAAAAGCAGCGGGTGGGGCTGTTTCTGTGTCAGCCCCTGGCTCGGAAGAAGACGCCGCTGCCGCCGCCGCCGGTGGCGGCGGTGACGCCGGGGAAAGCGGCAGCAAGAAACGGCGGTGGGTGTCCAAGGACGAGTGGCGCACGTACCGCTACAAGAAGAAGTCGGCCGCCGATCAGAAGGCGGACGACGCCTGGTTCGGGAAGCAGTCGGCGGCCGGTGCCGCGCCCGAGGAGAGCGTGGGGGCGGCGGCGGCGGCGGAGCCGCCGGTAGTAGCGGTAGCAGGGGCTGAGCAGCAAGCAAGCGGCGACGAGGGGCCGGAGAGCGCTTCGCCGCGGAGTATAGAAGGGGGCACGTCCGGGGATGCCGTTGGCAGTGCCGATGCTGGCTCGGCGGCGGCGGTGGCTGCCGCGGTGACGCCGAAGGATGTTGCGGGCGCGGGCGGGGCGGCTGGCGCCGAGGGGGCGGTGGTGAAGTCCGACGGAGGAGGGGGAGAGGCGGGGGGGGACGCTGCTAGCGCCGTGTCGGCGCCGGGGGCTCAGGAGGCGGCAGGGGTGGGGGGTGAGGATGAGGGGCCGGAGAAGCAGATTTTGCTCCGAGAGCTGAGAACAAGGTGATCCCCGTTTGCTTTTGTCGGCGCTGCATTGCTGTTGTTGTTGTTGTTGTTCCAAAGGGGAGTCCAACCTTTTTATATCTAGCGGCACTCAGCAGTGTTCCCGGGGTTTCAGACAGTTCGAGAGCGCTCTCTCGTCGTAATTGTGGTAGATGTGCTTCGTTCATGTGTCCTCTGGCAGTGTATGGCGCATCGCGTTCCTGCGTGTTGCTGCTCAAGGCACCGGGTGCCCAACGGTGGGTACAGTACCGCTGTGCCACCGTGTAGGGGCAGATGGCACGCGACATAGCATGCGACGAGTCTTTTTTGTCGTGTGTTCAGCACTCCCCGGTGACGTGTGCCTTGTGTACCGTCTCGGCGGTGTTTTGTCAGGAAAGTCACCGCGGCGGAGGGCCAAAAGTGAGACAGACTTGTGTCGGAAGAAATAAGGGAAACAAAGTTTTCAAGGGTGATTTCCTGTCCAACAAACAACCTCAGTTCTTTTAGTTCATCCCTACCGTGCACGAAGAGCTTGGGCATGCTGTCCCTCAGGTGTATGTCCTCTTTGAAGACGCTGGTTTTCTATACTGGTTTCCAGTTGTTGTCAGGTTTATGATGCGCAGGTTTAGGCCCTGCCGGATGGTGAGGGGCGAGCGTGGATCAGTCCGAAACGAGCCCATGTTTCTCGCTCACTTCGCTCTCGCCTAGTAGTGCTTGCTCTCTTGTGCGCACTGTCTAGTCGTGCGTGTATTTTCCGGCATCCACCATGCTAAATCAGCTGAAACGCCGTACATCCGTGTTGTCTGTTAAGGGTATACGTCTTGTTGTATTGGTTTTGCTACAAGCATCGGCCGCGCTAGCGTGCTGCCGAATGAAAAGTGTACGCTATGTGTGCGGTTCCCTCATTCTATTATCTATCTGTCTCTGTCTCTCTCTGTCTTTTCGTGTGGCGCGCAGCATTTACCGCTGCGAGGCGCTGGACGGCATCGTGAGCTACACGCGGCCTGGGCAGGACACCCCGGACGAGTTCGTGCGGATAGACATCCGTGGCAAGGCCTTTGTATACGTGAGCAGGTCGAGGTCCCTCTCTAGCAGCTTCGCACTTCGCTTTTGTGCTTCTATCTGCGCTCTTGCTTTGATCACGCTTCTCTGTGTTCCGTTCTACTTGTGTGTCGTGTACGTGTGGCCGTGTAGGCTTCCGAGGCAGATTTGCAGGTCCGGTACTAGTGCGGTTGTGTTCTTGGTGACTTGTGGTCCGTGTATTCGCCGCGTGCTTGTGTGCGCGTGTCTTTTCGTTGACGTCGCGAGCGCTAGCTTGCCGGTAGCTAGGGTGACCTTATACGTTGGAAGTATTCGCGACTTTTGTGCACGCGTGTAAGTGGTCGTTTCACGTAGCAGCAGCGGAGCTCTCGCTTGCGACCACACCCCCTTTCGCATACCTCAGATTCTCCAATCACAATGTGGATGGTTTGCCAGCGCATCCCCAACTTCCGTCAACCACCCCTACCCACCGCTACACCTCCACCGTATGGCCACTCTCCGATGCCCCTCGCTCACGCTGGCTGCGCAGGCATTCTCGCGCGCGCGCGTGTGTGTTTTTTAATTGTTAGCATCGACCGCGCTAACCGGCTGACCAATGAAAAAACGTCAGTTTCAGTGCGAGTGAAAACCAAGAACGCTTCTAAATGCCATTAACTGGGACCGCGCGCGCGCGTGTGTGTTTATGCTGCCCGTCTCTGTGTCGTAGAATCAAATCCGGCTGATGATCGGCGGGGCGCTCGGGGAGGCGAGGGGCGACCTGTGGTCGGGGTTCGTGGAAGCGGCCTTGAAGACCCCGTACAAGCTCAGGGTGCCCCTTGCGCCAGCCGAGGGTCTTGTGCTCGAGTCCCAGGTGGGTTGCTGTTGTTAGGGGAGAGGGTGTTATTTTTCTTCTTATCTGTGGTGCCCCCCGTGTACTATGAACTCTAAATTACTCTTTGACGCGGTTGGCGCGGCTTGGTTCATAACATGATCAGGGAGTTTGCCGAAATCTACAGTTCAGTTTAACCCCACGCCGACCCCCTCCCCACCCCGCCTCCACGTCCCGCTTGATCTCTCTCGAAGTATTTTTACGCTTTGCTTCCATCACAATCAACGAGCTTGCCGAGTTCGATTCTTTCTTCATAACAACGCCAACCCCCCCCCCCTTCCCGCCAGGCCTTCACGCGACATACGAACGCCCTCGTGCTGGACCCGCGAGACCTGGGCAGCATCGGCGGCACGCTTGCCGTGTGGGGCGAGAGCAAGGAGGGCAACGCGATGAAGACCACGGGGCGGCTTCAGACCCTGCTCACCCGGGAGCAGCTGAGGGAGGCGGCGCGGTGGAGCGACAAGCACATCCTTCCGGCCGTGGCGGACGCGTGGGAGACAAGGGGCACGGGTAAGGATGACGGGTTTGGGTGGGCGGGTGGGTAGTAGCCTTGGCGAGGATGATAAGCTCGGTTTTAGTAGGGGGGTGGGGGGTGGGGGGTTAGGGTTTGGACTCACGAAACCCCCTCCTCTATTTCATAGTTTATTGGTAGTGTCCTCGCGGGTCCGGGGCGGGAGGGAAGGGGGAGACTAGGGGTAGTTTTTTTTTTTTTGGGGGGGGGGGGTGGCGTTGGTGGCGGTCTGCCTCGCTGTTTGTTAACAACCTTCGCACCAACAATGCCTCATCGGAGGCTCCTTTACTCCTATATTCACACGGTTCCATCACGGGCCGGGGGGGGCAAAAATATAACTGCTTGTCTATCGCAGCGAAACTGTTCCTCGAGGCCGTGGAGAAGTTCTTCGTGGGGCAGCAGCAGGAGGAGCCGCTGCTGAAGGCCATCGCGGAGAACCTTTCGGAGATCTCGGAGAGCGAGCGGCGGGCGGAGGAGAAGTACAACAAGTTCCGGGTGCTGGCCAAGGAGAGGGGTTCCACCAAGTGAGGGACGATGGGCGATAGATGATGTGATCGCGTCGCTTGTGTGTGCGAAGAGCGAAAGAGACTGCGAGTACTACGTGTTCGTCTACGAGTAAAATACACCGGTTGATTTGCTGTTTGAAGGGGGCAGGCAGGCGGCAATTGCAGTTTTCTCTCGTTTTGGTGGTACTTTTCTCTCCCCTGTCTCCGGTTATTTTTTTCCTTGTTTGTGGTTGTTTATTTGTTCCGCTCTACCTCACCGCCTACGTAACCCTGACCCATCCTGTGGGTTGGCGAAAATGAAACAGGTACAAAGATTTGCTTCCCAAGAGCATCGCCACGGGGATCATCTGCAAGTTCCGGCTGCTCCCGGGAAACAAGGTCTCCGCCATACAGCGAGGGGTGGTCGAGCGCATGAACAAGGTGCGGCGCAATACGGTAGACCTTTTTTTTTTTTGTGACACAAATTCATCTCCTCTCCACAGATAAAGAGTAATTTGCAACCTATCGTCACCGATGCTCAAGGAACAGATCATGTCGAAACAGTCTGTTTTCCCCCGTTTAACCACTTTTTTTTAAAGTATTTTTCACATTTGTACAAGTTGACATACTGGGGCACACGTCATGGGGAACTACTAAACTTGTTCTTGTAGAAATGTGAAACAGAAGGCGAGACTTTTTGTTCCTATTTTAGTTCTCGATGCACGGGTCCCATGACACAGATAATAGGGGGTTTCTGGCTCTCACTGATAAATGTGTGTCCCCACCACCGGAGGGTTGGTTTGTGCACAAAGGACAGGCAAACGGACGGCGGTGTGATGCGACAATTTTGGTTGGGTTCATACCTTGCGGGTCCAATAGAAAGGAAGCAATGTAGTATGTTTCTCCGGGGTGTGTGTCCGTGTACAAGACGCGTGTTCTTGGGGGTAAAGGCTCACCACAACGACGGTCTACCATGGGTGTGTAAAGGAGTTACTTATTCCGTTTTTTGTTTGGCAAGCCAGTCAGTGTCTTATGTAAGTTCTCCTTTCGTAAGGCTGAAATTGTTGTGAACTCCCAGGTTGTTAATGTTAAGGTGACGCGCTCTGTATGCCTGTGTGTCAACCCCGCTCGGCCTGCCTGAGCCGACAGCTTTCGCCACGGTGGGCTTTCTTCTTTTCGTTTGGGCACACCCAGAAAAAAAAAAAAAACGATGTCTAAACAAAAGGAGGTGTTCTTACACGCCTTGTTTAAGCGTTGAGGCCAAAACCCTGTCTGTGGTTTTTTTGACGCGCCTGGCAACCCGCTCTGTCACCGCCGCCGCTGCCCGCGCGCCCGCGCGTCGCATGTACGTTTGTGCCATGCTTGTGTGTTGTGTTTTTTTATTTTAAGGGAGAGCTACCGCCGCTGGCGGAGGTCGAAGAGATCCTGGCGTTCTTAGAGAAGATAGGAGTCGACCAGGTGGCCCTCGACGGGGGGTTCGTTGCTCCTGACTTCGAAGGCGGCGGCGGCGGCGGCGGCGGCGGCGGTGCTGCGGCAAAGAGCGCTGCCCCCCTCGCCGCGGCAGAGACGGCTACTACAACGTGATGATGCGCCCCCGCGCGACGAGTGGCAGACAAGACGCCTTTGTCGCAGCACGCAGACGCGAGGAAGGCCCTTTTGCGTGCGCCGGCGCCGCTCCTGTCAACGTCGTGGTACGAATACAGGGCACTACAGGCTGTGCGCCGCCCCTGTCTGGAGTAAGAAGTGCCGTTGGTTGCGGCTTTGGCGAGGGCGTGCAAAACAAGTTGTTGTTGCAGCGGTACGTGCGCCTCTCGAGGGCGGGCGGGGACGGCGCTTTTCGCTCTTTGAAGGATGTTCCCTGTGTGTCTCACTTTTTGGTCGTGTACCTCCTCCTGCTGGTGTGGCGTCCGTGTGTGACCGACATTTTCCGGCGGACATTCGCGGCGTTGAAGAGTGTGGTGCGGTGCAATCGCGTTGTTGCTGTTGCTATGTAGGCGTTCATGGAAGAAGGCCGCCAGTCAGCAGTTGTCGAAGGCCGATGATAGAGGGAGGCAAGAGTGAGAGAGCGGGGGGGGGGGGGGGAGGGGGGGGT